CCATTACTTTGGAGCCGAAGCTATTTCAAATGAAACTTAAGAATTCAGTCCGTACCGCGAAGAAAACACAGCACTTCACCATTGCAAAGATCAACTGGTTAACGTTGTTTAAGTAAATAATACGACTAAAACGCTAATTAACCTTTGGAGCCGAAGCTCTTTCAAATGAAACTTAAGAATTCAGTCCGTACCGCGAAGAAAACACAGAACTTCACCATTGCAAAAGATCGACTGGTTAACCTGAGAGTCTCAGGAAACAAATGAATATGTAATACAGTAAAAGGCGTCTTCATTTCTGTCACATGATGGTCTTTTGTTGTTGTAGTTTCTAGGGAGTACAGAAGTGGACCAGCCAAAAGGCATTGAGGTGGTTAAAGAGGGAATTCGTAAACTGAAATTCAACCAGCAGTTGCGGAAAGCAGAGGGCAGCAAGACGCCAAAAGTAGAGCTCACCATCAGTATAGATGGAGTCGCTATACAAGAACCAAAGACGAAGGTACTGTTTCGACTTAGTTCTGAGGTCTGTAAGACTAAACTTTTCTGGTAAAGTTACGGTTACCTAATCACCACATCTCCACACGTTTTTTAACTTGAGTATGAGATGAATTTGCATTTACTCTTTTGTTGCTGATGTCTAAAGTCTCACTGCTGTGAGAATTCCCGTAATTCTACAGAATTTTAGTAGGGAAAATCAGTCCCATTTGTATACCCCTGTACATCCAGACAGTGGAAAATTTATTGAACCCCCTAGAATATAATCTGTCATGTAAGAACATTTGAAAAGTGGGATTTGAGGTTTTCATGGTTGCGAATCTGAATATGGATGTCTTGTGGGGTTGTTGCTCCGTGTACTCTGGTAGAAGTTTGCCGACGTTTCAGAGGTGTTGATGGAGGCAGCAAGGACCTCTGAAACGTTGGTAAACTTCTAACAGACTACACAGCGCAGGTGCCCAGAAGGCAGCCAACATTTGAAAACGATGCACTGCACAAAGTATGCCTCGTTGAGAGTGTGCGTAGGTTTTGTCGAGTTCAGAGCCGTGATTTGTGGAAATGTTCCTCAAGAATGACGTACGCTGGGTTGGTTTCTTCCGCAGCGCATCATGCACCAGTATCCACTGCATCGCATATCGTACTGTGCTGATGACAAGGGAGAGAAGAAATTCTTCAGCTTCATCGCTAAGGAGCCTGATTCCGAGAGACACGTGTGCTTCGTGTTTGTTAGCGACAAGCTAGTAAGTTGTCATGAAACTAGTTTGAAGACGATACTAGTAAAGAGATATTCCTCATAATGGCATCTGCTAAGCTATTGCATTGAGCAGTAGATTGCCAGGAACCTTTACATATATAATGTTGGATTTTTATCTTTATTTCCTTATTTTTTAGGTAAATAGAGGCGTATGGTATTGCTGTAATTATGTGTTCATGCTAATCCCTGGTATTGTTTGAAGCAGTGGATAGATTTAGATTAAACTTGCTATATCATGTCATCATAGAGGCCATCTTATCTTTGCGATTAATAGTTTCTTGCTTGTATAATACTAACATGGCATCCACCCAAATTTATAATGTGGTAGCAACAGTAGTGCCACTGTTTCTGCAGTGTGCGCAAGTAGTACTGTCTGCGCAGTGAACACGGAGGTAAAACTCCACGCATTTTAACTTCAGTACCCATTGGGTAGGTGGCTAGGCAGATGAAGAATGTCTTGACATTATGGTAAAAAGTGCAAGCCCTGCTCTCGTCAGGAATCAGACCCTCGTCGTCCAGCCCAAACTCGGTGACTTTGCCGTCTAATCTGAATTGTGTAGAAGAAATTTGTAACTCGGGTCGCCTGTTATTTGTGACTGTGATTTTAAATGTGATGAATATAGGCAGAAGAGATTACGCTGACAATTGGACAAGCGTTTGACTTGGCTTATCGACGATTCTTAGAGACGTCTGGCAAGGATTTGGAAGTACAGCGCCGACTCATGTTGCTGCAGCAGAAAGTGAAACGTCTGGAATCGGAGAACTCGTTACTGCGACAGAGACTGAGCGACGTTGCTCAGATCAAGGGGCAGGTCAGTAAATACACTTCCTGATGTGGAGAAATTATTGTAATCAGTTCTTGCATTTTTGCAAGAGATGGGTTATTTCAAATAGTTGTAAGATATTTAGATTTTTTTCAACTTATGTTAAAAAGATACCCACACTGAAAAATGGCTGGTACAGGGTGTTGAAATCTCCACTGGGTAGAACAAACGGTGGTAAAATTCAGGCAGTAAAAATTACATTTCTTAAAATAAATGTAAGTGTAGATGACCGAGTTCGACAGAATGGACAATATCAGATGATGATACTAATGGAATACAGTTGTAATGGATGACGGCTGGGAAATTGTAATCTGATTGAACGTAATCTGCAAAGAAGAAATCTCTTTTTTCTTTCTTCTTAAACACTTGGGCAAAGAAGAAATCTCTTTTTTCTTTCTACTTAAACACTTGGTGTTGCTACGCGCCATTTTTCCGAAACTCAACTGGACGGCCTGGATAAATTGCGACACCAAATCCTGGTGACGGGGACAGGGTTGGTCCCTGAAATGGCGATTCTTAACCGACTGACATGGCTGGTAGCCTGGTAATATTTTATTAACGGTGATGGTGATTATTTACAGAGTGATATTGAAGAATATATGTCACAGAATGGAATCACAGATCTTCTGAGTGTTGGCAGCAGTTCCAGCAGCAGTGGTACCACTACATCACCTTCCAGCAATGAATTTAACTACAGTTCTGACAACATACACAGTGGACAGAACAAGGTAAACTGCACTGCATCCCATACCAACATTTTCGGGAGATTTCAAGTATCATTAATTCCCAATGAGAGAAAAATCCTGACGGCTGTATCTTGTTCAATATTTACTTAGAATTCAAATAGTGCTGTAATATTTGTATCTTTTATGCATTAATATATTCTTTCTTCATACCTTCAACATCCAGTTTGTAAATAAGAGAACGTAACGTAACCTTGCTAAGAAATGTAACAATTTCCTCGCCATTAGTTTCTGTGCGAATAAAAATATTTACAAATTATGCCGAGATGCTGAAGAATAATTAACACAGATGGACTTCGGGTTTGTCTGAAAGAGCTGCAGGCCCAGTTGGGGCATATTTTCTGTTACAGTAATTTATAGTTAATTTAATATAAAATTTAAATTTGTATTATCTTCGTCCTTATTACCTGCGCCTTATAAATAAATACTCAGATAATCTTTGGTTAATGGCTAAGTGACTTTGCAACGTGGTGGCTAAATAATCTGATTTATGCTCCGTAGGAGAATGGGAACCTCCTAAACTTGAGCACTGGGTCCAGTAACGGAATTAGCAGTCCCCCCATCGCTGCAAGCCTCGCACAGCCACCACCTGTTCCTCCCAGAGCCTTTGAGGCCAGTAGTGGCAGCAAGTCATTTGGAGATAACAGTTTTATAAGCGACATGTTGTCGTCAGCCCAGCCATCCGTTGGAACGAAACTGGAAGGTTTGCTACTGGATGAACTGGAGGAAGACTTCAATCCTCGGGCATATGAAAGAATGAGCAGCAACATTAATGACAGTGGCAGTCTTTCATTGTCTAATGGCTCCATTTCTTCTCCACCTTTATGTAAGTTTATAAAGGATGCAGTCGTCATGGCTTCCACTGAAGACTGCAGGTTTTTTGTTATTTGTAATTTTCTGTAATAAATATCAGTTGTGGACTTCTGGTTTGTGGCGCTATATAGTCTCGTGGGTGATTTCCAACATTCATTGTTTCACAGGAATATGTTTTACCGATCTTAAATTTTGAAGGTTTGGCCTTGATGATGGAGACGGTATGTCAGAAATCAGAGAATTGTAGTTGACATCTTCACCATGAGATTCTCATATCTCAGAAGAGAACACAATTTCCATTCTTATATTCTCAATAACATGATTTTATTATGGTGTTGATCATAAATTTATAGAACCAGAATGCTGTTATGGGATGCACGTTTGCAAAAAGTACGGACTTCATCTAGTAAGTTGCCTTGTGTGTGTGTGTGTGTGTGGATAACTGAGAGTTGGAATATTGGCCTGATGGCGACAATTTATTTGACAGTGGCTCCACCTCCAAAAGTTCCCAGAGATTCGTCCAGACGCACGCACACGCATAATAATGGTACAACCCCACAGAATGCAGATCCATTCAAGGAGGATCTCTTCGGTTCCACCCCATTTAACCCTGCTTCGGCATCGACGCTGTCAGCACCCCCTATTCCTAACAGGTAGGATACGTTATGTGTTTTATTCAGTCCAGAATCTGTATCTGAGATGTGCCATTTTGTATGTGTAAAAGAGTTGATTTTTAACCTGAGAAAAGAAAATGGATTGCGAGTATTTTAGAAGATTGGAACAATCGTGGGAAGATAGTACTAAAATGTATTTTAGAAAATAGGATGTGATGATTGGTTGGACTTTTATCTCTACTACCTGGAAGAATTGAAGAACTCGGTAGAAACTTTACCAGAATTGTTGGTCTGTTGCCAAGAAGTGACTCGGCTACACGTCATAAGTGATTTTAGACAAAACAGCTCATTTATGTCTTTTCCTCTGTCGCAGGTCTGCGCTGAAGCAGCAGGTGCCTTCAGCAGTAGGCGTTCTCTCCGATCCGTTTGGGATGGGAGACTTTGGAAACCAAGAGAGTGGAGAACCGTCGCAGCAAGAACTGGAGAACGCCATTGGACTTCTAGACAAGAGACTTCTGGAGATGAAGGTAAGATGGTCTCAAATATAAATGATATATTTTTACATGCAGAATGTACAGTTTGTTAGGAAAAATTTAAAGTTATAATGGAGCTGAAAATATCAGATTTGTAATAAACTGTTATAGTTCTGTTTAAATAAATTTGTGACCTGAAGTATGGTTAAGCTTGTCTAGGATGTAAGAGTTTCGAGGTTTTGCCTGAGGTGTCTTTGAAATACTTTATTTTATAGCCTTCTCATAGATCAAACTGCTTACAGGATGGTTTCAGTCGAGGACTTTCGTTCGGTAATGAAGACTTCTCACTAGAAAGCTTGGATCCACTTCGTAATTAGGAAGTAATACTTTAGAGTGCCTCTCTGCCAGGTAAGCGTGATGAACAGATGCTGTGAAAAGTTCTGGTAAGGCTTCTCATATATTTTCAGAGTTATTTTAAGCTACTGATTGTTAATCTGCATTATTTCCTTCTGATCTAAGTAATGGTGATTGAAAAGGTCACCATTATTCAACATGGCATTGAAATGAGTTTAATTTTTTTAACATGGTGTTTGGAATTAACCTTTTTATAAACTTTCTTCTAGATGTTGTGTGTGGGCATGTCAGTGTTCTACTCAGTCACTCTGTTGACTTTAGTTGTCTACACTGCTGCATTATCATCTTTGACAGCCAGAATTTTCTGTTCAGTGGACATGGATGAACTGAGAGCCAAGATACTGCAATTAATATTTCTTATGTATGCACATAGTAAGAAATATTAATTATATTTCTGTAATTATTCATTATGATTGTGTGCAGTGTGAGAGTTGAATTAATTTAAACAAAATGGCTGAAGACTTGGTGCTGTGTCTGCATAGATGGTGAATTAGAGAGCTCGACGGTACGTCATCTTTGTCCATAAGAAGAAAACTCGAGATGTTAAAACGTGATGAGTCCAGTCTTCCACTGAGGTAGTTTCGGCTCGTATTGATTGAGAATTTCAGTATTTCACTGTACATAGTTTATTGTGGCAGATGAAAACTGAGATGTATAATAATTTTAAGAAGTAGAAGAAACTGTAATGATTGTTCAAAGTAAACGAATTTGTGATATAATTTATTGCCAATTAAAAAAAGTTTGTAATTTAGTCGTGCAGCTTGTAAATTACCACGTGTGTCAGTACTGCAGGAAACTTGTCTTACAGTCCATTAGGTGCCAGGAAAAGAATAATTGTTACGAATAATGCCACTTTTGGCAGGAAGGTCTTGTTCCGCCTCTGACCGTATGTACAGCCTATTGTATTTTTTTTCACCAATATATTGATACGTAGAAAGTCATCCTTTTTTTGGAAAAGGGGGGGTTTCCAAATGAAGTGCTATGTGTATTAATACTATTGTATAATATTTAAAAAAAATTGAAAAATAAGTGAATATTTTTATTGTTACTTGGATACAAAACATTTTCAGACTTTTCTGCACGTATGATCAGATGCACAAGAAACGTTTCCTTCTGCAAGTACCATAATTCATAACAAGTATTCTTTTCTCTGCACCTTATGACTTGAGATGCGAAACAAGTTTCTTGAAGCGTTGACACGCGTGTTTATATATATATATATATATATATATAAGCTTCAATACTAAATTACAAACCATTCTTAATTAGTAATAAATGATAGAGCTTATTCCTTTTAATTGTCAAAACATGGATTAAAATGCTAGCTTTATTATGCATTTTGAATTCAATGGTTAAATCGAAGAAAAAGCAATATTACACTTTATATAGTTACGATGCTGTTAGATTGAATAATAAATATATTTTTCATATAAAGGCTTAACATATTCTTAAGCACCGAGGATATAATTTTACCTCCTGTAATTCTTGTTATAGTTGATAGATTTTCTGTCTTGATACATAAATTGATATGCTGTATATATTGACTCTATAAGATGATGTTTTGTTATTGTAATGAAAATACTTTCCCTTTTGTTTATGATACATTGACATTGTGTTTTCAATTTCCAACCTCTCCTTAACCAGAACCTCCCAGCGTGACCCATGTTTTTTCATGTCATATCGACACTGAAAATATTCCAGTAGTTTGGAAGTTGGCTGCAAGGTCCGTTCTGAGGTACTGCCTAGTAAATTTCAAGGGCAAGCAGGTAGGTAAAACCAGAAATAAAGGAATTACATTAATTCTGGGAAATCAAGTTAATGCTTTGAACTGGCTGAAGTACTACTTGGAAAATATATGCAGGTAAGTACTTTTCGTTCGACTACTGAAGGTTTTGAATGAAAATGTTGACAATATTGAGTTCGGGTTACAAGTTTCAACCTCTGTCGCAAGGCATTTAAATTCTGTACTGCAGAGCTACCAGCCAGATTTGTTGTCATGAATTAATGGTTTAGCAGTAGCCATGTTCTTTCTGATTTTATTCAACCATATCTCGAGGTTACAAAATACATTTTGTTCATATTAAAGCACTTCTATCCCAGAAGACGAGTGAAATTGTGTTAGTCTGTCCTATCTAATAGGCAACTTCCCAAATACAAATCACTCATTTGAATTAACCTGTCTTGATTATAATCACATAATTGTACAATATATGTACAATGGGTGTACTGCCAAATTAACGGGGGCTCACCAGCAAGCTGTATCTTGTATTTTAATTTTGAGTAATATAAAGTGGGGTCCGCAGTGGCTGCGCGGTCTGAGGCATGGGCCTTGTGCCGGTTGGACCTTTGGTTCGAATCCCCCTCAAGCCATGGATGTTTGTTGTGCTGTCCTGTGTACAGGTAGAGGCCTTGCGACGGGCCGATCCCTCGTCCAAGGAGTCCTACCGAATGTCCATAGATCAAGCCAACAGAAAGTTGGGACCAGTAAAAGGGCACCGGAAAATGTATAAACATTGTTAAACCGGAAATATAAGAGTAATATAAAATAAAATGAAACTACATAATTGCATATACAAACAATTTATTTGTGTACAGTTGTGCTGATCAGTAGCAGCTAATGCGTCTTATATAAAGGAACAAGAAAGACGTGAGCGGAATGCTCTCTTTTGCTTTAATGCTTCTAATTTGTTATAGACAAACTTTTATGTGTATTAAATGTTTGTTGGCTAATTATGACGGAAGTTCTGGATCGTGGAGTCTTTCAAGTTCACATATCTCAACTGTATCCCCCTATCTCTACATCTGGTTGGACAAATCTCCTTATGTTTAATATTAGAGTCTCGGCTAAATTTTTGGGTAGAATGTAATGTCAGTTCACAATTAAAGTGATGTAAATATCTTGGAAAGTTTATTTTAAATATCGACCAGTGAATATATATGTGTGTGTGTTTCAGACGCAGGCTACGATCACTATTTACACTGATATATTATGCATGTTCTCTTTATAAGCATCAACTTGTTTTCTGGGTAATGACCATCAATGGCAGCGTGAATATATCCTATTTCTTTTCATTCAGTACCAGCAGACGAGTGGTTTCCAACAGAAGTATTGTAGTTTCTCCGTCACTTTGCATAATTATTCACTGAGGTTTGAAGTTTCCCAGCTTGTTGCACATGCGACCATTGTTCCTAGCAATCTCGACTCTGGCGCAATCTGTAAGCAGTATGATATTTCACATTATTTTACTAGGTGGTGTTATGTTACATTTTCAATGGCTATTTATACAGATGGAGTTGGCTAACCAGAAGTATAATTCCATTTGAAGCTGTAGAATGGTTTCCTAACCCATGGCTAAGAAATATATTTTGTGTGGCCCACTTCTAAAATTGTGTCCACTGTTTGACAAAAAATAATTACTAAAAACAGTTCGTATTTGGACAGCGAAAAAACAGATATTAATTAAATTCCACTTTGGCGAACATAACCGTTCTGCATTATGGACATGTGGTTCATATTATCACATCCTGTTTCCTTAGGGTTCAATTTAATAATGTCATACTATTTTAGGGTTTGATTCTTGGCTGGTTGGTAAAGTCCTTCACTCTGAACACTTGCTCTGGAGCCCATCTTCCCCCTTTTATGAGGGCAAGCTCATAAACTCATCAGTCACCTCCATCTACTGAAAAGGTGAAGAATGTATGGAGATTTACTTGTACTCCCCTACATGCATTCATGGCTTTGTGCATAAGGCACACGGACAAATGTCTGTCGGTACATGAAGAGACCCGTTTCCATGAGATTTTCTTACCAAAATTTGTTACACTTTTTTTATCTAGGCAACCAATCCAAGTGGCGCACACAGGAAAAAAATTAAAAATATATATTTACTGCACTCCATAGAATCGGCAAGCTTCCTGATGACCTTGTAGTAGGGTATCGGTCTTCCGTCAAGCGTGACGCAGAAACACACCTCACCGCGACACTGTCTGGGGGCATAGGCACCTTCAGGTGTGCATGCAGGGGGTTTCTTAGGATGCAATTTTACTGCTTCCATGCATGGCATATTTGGTTGGTTTGATCCCTTGGATGCCTCCTCCACCAGTGGAGTTTCAGCTGAATCATAAAATATAGATTTATGCAGATTTATAATGCAAAGTATGAGGTTATCTACAAATTTAAAATGTGAGGTGTCTAAACCTGGGATATTCAGATTTTCAGTCTAATGCTCTTTCATCTTAGCTATTTTGGCAATGTATTGAAATTTATAAGTAATACATGAATAACCTAGTATTTCTCTATAATAATTTTTATGATTTCTAAGTTTTAGGTATTTACAAATAGAGTTGTTTACATCAAAATTGACAATGTAATGCTCTTTTCTTAAATGGAATCTTTTCTGAACTCAAGATCGAAAGCAAAGAAAAATGCACATCACATGAAGAAAAAAAAAAATAGGGCCTGTCCGGGAATTGAACCCGGGACCTCTCGCACCCGAAGCGAGAATCATACCCCTAGACCAACAGGCCAGTGAAAAGAAGGATTAGAAATTTACAGTTATAAACGCCGATTGATATGTTCATTGTACTATTAATGTAGTTTGTTATTGTAATTTTAAGAACATTATAATTTTTTGTGTAACAATCTACGTATATGCTCACCAGACGGAGGAACACACGTTCCAGTTCTTTCACTGCATACTAGATCTGCACCACATTCATATTCTGCTGGTATCTCGACTTGATGGCACGGCTGACCGCGATCTAGAAAATTATTTAAATGATTTTTAAGATACGTTGCATCTGACGGGGATGAAATCGGGTGCCGAAAATTTAATTATATTAAGCAACTGGAGAAAGCGTTAGGAAGTGTAGCAACCCTCTTCTCAGCCCTCTACTTCCGGGAGCACCATGAACGGTTTATCTTTGACCTGAACACACCCCGGAATTGACGACATTCACGAATTCAACTATGCTGTTGACATGGGTCTTTGTATATGTGTTTTTTTTTCTGTTTTAACGAAAGCTGGGGATTTTGAAACCCTTCCTTCGTGTTACTTCAGGTATTTCCGGAAGTATCTTGTCTTTTCTCCGCCTTCACCGTGTATAAGTAGAACCATAGCGCTTATAGTAATATTTCAGTACAGTGTACTCACCTAAGAATTTTATACATGATGGGCAACATCCACAGTCACTGACATTTGGTTTGAAGTGTCCATTAATACAGTCGTCAGGTTGCTTAATGGCACACTGCAATTCAGTGCAGTAGCCATCTTGAGTGAGGCATGGTAACGCAGGGTAACAATAGGCTACTGCGAAAGTTGTCAATGTGAATAGATAAGCCCACTGCATTCTGCAACATGCAGGAAAGTTAATTAAAATATTGTATGGCCAAATTCTGCAAAGGAACTGCACACGAAGACAATTCTCGTCAGAAGATGTGTTGCTTTTGTAATTAATAAGTCACATTGTAATGTGTAAACTTCGCAAGCCATGGGGAAGCCAGTGCAATTCAGCAGTGCAGTAGTTAGGATACGGGTTCGATTCCCGGCAGGGTCATAAGTATTTCTCTGCGTCGCCACGTTGAGACCGACTTTGGAACAGTCCGTACCTCCTGTGATGTGGGAACAGGGCATATTTCCCCGAAAGTTAGAAGACCAGGGAATGAAACTGAACACTCACAAGGTGAAGAATACGTGGAGCTATACCGCCACACTCTTATGCGTCTGTATGGAGTGTTACTTAATCAAGCACCATGAACTTTACCTTACCGCAACACAGTAAGCTCTCCAGTAAAGTCTCCAACATTTGAATTGGACAAGAGGAGTTTTGATTATCTTCCTAAATCGTCTAAGTACAGACGTTTAATGCGAGAACATAGAAATATTATCTAAATTAAGCTGCCTTTACTTCCTGCACAGGAAAAAATTGTTCCCTGTTAAAATAATTGGACAGACCGTTTTTAAAAGATAGTAGAAATGTCTCGTTCTTCTTAAATTAAAATATGAAGGAAAACTTGTCCGGATTTGCACACCCCTGCAGTGTGATATCCTCATTCTCACTGTCCTGCAGTGAGCTCTTACCTGGATGAGTGAAGTCCTTGAATCACAATTCTGCGTGCAATCATTTGTCGTTAGTGCGATAAGTATAGCTAAAAGGCGCAAGCTGACGTTTAAATACAATTGTGTTTATGTGACGTCACCTACGTACGATTGCTGGGGCAGTAGAGTTCAACTGAACACAGGCAGCTTCCTCGTCTACTCGAAGACCAGTTCTACAGCCTTCTTCTCAAATAGCATTTATAACAGTAACACTGTAACGAACCCCGCTGTCCCTGATCCTTCCTCCTGGTCTTTTTAAAATCGTTCTCTCTGTCTTTTCAGCAACAACAATCCAAAAATAGTTGGCAGTCCTGCTTTAACTCCTACTTCGCCTAAATCTCACTCCTTAAGTAATACTTCCTTTGTGATAGAAAAAAGCTGAATTTGTGTTTTTGATTTTCTGTGAACAAAAATGGCCGACAACGATCGGTGTTCTATTACCGCCAGGGTCACGGTTCTTCTCTGTTCTTTTTAATTTAGAACGGCTCTGGGGTCCACCCGAAATCTTATCCTATCCAGCTCATAAAACAGAGAATCTAAGAGCAAAATTAAAAAAAAACATCGCTCATTTTCGCAAGTTGGAAATGCAGACTTAAATGGCTCGAGGAACTGTAATATAACCACAAAACATCAGAACTTATATAAACATGTTTTGAATTTTGAAAATTTAAAGAAATTATCATAATAAATGTTTAAATGATACTCCGCAATATCTAAACATTCAGATATACAGCATAACATCATATATCTTCAGTTTTTACTAGCATATAGGAAGAGAATTGTGACATATTCATTCCCACAAAAGTTACGGGCACACACACTCTCACACGTTGTTCTAATTCACTGTTGACTGAAGGCATGTTTGTGGGGGGGGGGGGGAATGCAATAATTTTACATCACATACAAATTAGTGCATCGAATGACAACTGTTTTAAAATAATACTATGCAAATTTTGATAATTATCAGCTAGTTCAAAGTCAGTAAGCTTAACTACGGTATGTAGTATTCCGTGACCTATATAGAGGTCAAATAGACTGTGAACTCTTGATGCTATTTGGTTACTTTTTGACATCCTACGGGTTTCTTTTATTGAAGACATCGTTTTGTGTACACTTGTCATACGTCACTGATTAGCCAAACAATTTGTTTCCAAGATATAGGCTAGGGGTGTACATGACAGCTAGAATCAGAATCGATTCAAGATTACAGTTTCTCTCTGCATTTATCGTTCTGTGTTTGTTTGTGCCCAGGTTTGCCATTCGTATTATAATTGTCTCGAGTGTTACAGGAATTGTATGGAAACAGTTCTTACTGCAATTTCATTCACGTTGATTTTTAAATTACTCATGTTACGACCTGTATTGTGACTATTGGCGACACTGTTTTCTTAATATCAATGGAAAGCATCAAGTGGGCACATATTATCGCGACGTAGTTTTCAGGGGCAAATTTCCTGTCATTGTGCTTTAGTGGAAAGGTTGAAGGCTGACTGTATTTTTCCATATATGCAAACAAATACGTTAAGATCAAGAGAGAATACTTACATTGATGTGTCACACTTAACCAAGGAAGAAAATGAACAGTCGTTGCAGTTTTGTTATTTGTTTTATCGGTGTTTTTGTGTTTGAAAGCATATTAGCTTCAGGTAAAAGATTTGTTTAAACTGCATTATTGTAATTTAATTTAATTTAATTACATATGCAACGTAATGTACTAATTAGTAAAATTTAATTTTGTATTGTAACTGATTTGAAAAGACGACTTCTGTGATTTTAACTAAGTTTTATTTCAGAAACGATATGTACCGTGCATACAGTGGGTCGTGCGTGCCCAGATCCTAATGAAACTTGTTACCAACAGAAAGCAAGTAATGATACTGGTGTGTGCAAATGTAAACCTGGATACAGGAAACAGAGCCCCGCGGAACCATGCTTACAGACCAGGCCAGTCACTCCAGACCCACATTCAGATGACAAGCCTACAACACCAAAGACAGAACATTCATCTAACGTATCAGGTAATGAATTTGGGTGTAATCTGTTGCAAGTACTGTTTTCTATTCCACTTACATTATTGTATGTATTAGCTAGCAAGAATTACAGATAAAGGACTTGCCCAATTTGAGGTTTCATCTGAAAGTTTCATGTTTTAATGGAAGCTTTTGTTCATGAGATTTCAGGTTCTCACAGCAATAAGTATGGAGATGGCTTCTTAGATGGTTTTGGAGGTTCTTACTGCCTCCATCATCAGAGCAATGATGTAGGCAGTATGCTACTCCAAAATGTTGGTCATTGTCTACCAGACTGCATGGCACAACATGCCAGAATACATCTGTATTCATTGCTTTTTGTTTACTATAAAATGAAGTAAAATTGGTGATTGAGATATTGGTCTAGTAGCTAATATAGTTGATTTATAACTCAAAAATTGGTGAAGAAGTATTAAAGTTTTCATCAGGGTGGGAAAAATAGATCTGTATGTGAAATAATACATCTTTGTACAGCTTTGTGTAGTCTTCTGATCATGTGCGTGCTGTTGTATGCATGTCAGCCAATATCAGCCGGCCTGAAGTGCATTGCATTTCAGACCAGGTATTAGCTCCATCTTACAGACCGTATGTAGTAGGTTTTATATTTTTACCTGATGGTGGAAGCAGAGTCAGCTATTGAGATGTGTATTTTAACTAGGAAGCAGTACAATGGGAAATGTCCAAAATATTTGTCACTTAAATAACTTCCTTTCATCACCAAAGTTTGTTATTACTACTATTTATTTTGTTTCTGTATACAATTCTTGTTGTATGTTGCGAACAGTTACTTAATGTTTGCCAGGTTCTGCCATTGCTGCCGGCATTCTGATTCCACTGGTGCTGATTGTGGTGGTGGTAGGATTGCTGTACTCTGCACGCCGGTTCCACTGGCTACACTGGTTTCGCCAGCTGAGACAACGGCGTTATGACGAGGTTCGGATTGGACAGGAAGACGATGATGACCCACCGATTGCATGAACGTGAGATTTTGGTAGGGGTCAGGAATGTAATAAGACTGGAAGCCAAGTCATGGGTGTCTGAGTAAGTGTGTTTCTTTACGAATGTGTCATAATGCTAGATCATCGAGGCCAGGTTACGTGTACAGTTTAATTGTGGCACAAAATGATTTTGCGATTTAGTGATTTTTTAGAATATTTGTACGAAGCTTTTGCACTGAATATGTCCATGAAAATGTTGTCTTCGTGCTCATAACATTACTTTGGATTTTTTTTTAAACTTTTTCTCATTTCTACCCCAAGAGTTGGGATTGTGTCTGTTCTGAACCCAGGTTTAGTTTCAGGAAGTAGTTGAGAATTCTGGCACAAAAATTTAATTCATCTCTCGTTATTTCTATCTTTGTCATACTCTAAAAAGCAGTAACATATATATTTCTTATATAAAAATGGGTGCTTCATTTAGTGGGCAGAATAAATAAATCAAATGGCACAAATTAAAAGGTGGGTGCTTAACCTTCGTCAGCCGTGCATCACAATTTCCACGCAGTCCAGTCTTTTAACTGTGAAGTTTAAGTTTGGCCAGCAGCCCCATTCTTCTTCTTCTTCTATGGCTCTCCGGTCCGTATTCGGTCCATGGCCTCCTCAATTCTCCTCTTCCATTCGGTCCTCTGTCAGGTCCGTCTGTCGGAGGCTTTGATCGAGGTTTTGAAACATCTTCCTTTTTACGGTGCAAGGTTGTTAGCCTTGCGACCAACCCCCAACCTGGAGGACCAGGGTACCTGTCTTAGTCTGACCTCTTCCCCTCGACCAATCTGGCTAGAGAGGCCCTACCAGTAGCTCTTGGGGTCACTGAGGTACTCAAGCCCCACCACCACGACAAGGTGCAGATACCATTAAGTGGGGAGCAGCCCCATTACCATATGAAAAAGGTTTATTGTGATTTATTTATTTATTTTTATCAGGTACTTGTAAAAATTTATTATGTTGAATGCTGTGCCTGGCCATCCTTTGAACTAGCAATTTGAGGTTATGTCAGTTATTAGAAATCATTTGTTCTTACTGATGTACCAAGGACTTGGTTGAAATATCTGTTTGTATTTGCTAGTATTAAGGCCTTTAGAGTAACTGGGAGCCTTTTTTAAGGTTAGGGCTTGCCAGAACTCATTGTATGTTTGCCTTGCTGTGAGATAAACAATAATTCCTCTCAGCCAGCTCTCTAATGCAGACAACGTGATAAACACTGAACAGACAATAAATCATCGACTTCTTCGAATATCTGTTAATCAAAATGCATTATGGGAAAATCTGTAAATTTAGTCTGAACAGTAGCTTGTGTTTTTGTCGTACCTTCAGGTCCCAATTAACAGTATTATCTTCTTGTGATTCTGATGTAACTATTTTGAAGTGATTAGCACTTCTGATTCATATTTGTGAGGTCCTGAGTTGAAATCCCAGCTGAGAGACAGCTATCCTGTCTGAGGGTTTTGTGGTTTACTTCAGTCCCTCTGTTATTATTTTTATAGTTGATATAGGGTGAAGAGGCTTTCACTATACCCAGAGACAGTGTGGAAAAATGAATGTGATGGATCTTGATCTTGATTTCTTCTGTCTTGTTCTTTTCCTTGTCTTCACTTGTGTGGCGTTTTAAGTTGGAGATCCGTTGTTCGGATAAAATTATTCAAAATAAATTAAGATGTTATGATTCGAATTGTATCCACACAGAACTAATATTAAAGATTGTCGCTCGTGTGCAATTTCCGTGACGCTTAGCCTCTCTCTGTAATGTAATAACAAGTCTTTTGCTGATTGGTCATTCTGTGCTCCCGTCTTAGTCCCATCTGCTCTAGGTGCAGCAAGTTCTTGATGTGTTTGTTGTCCTCACAGCTGTTGGCTTTCATCCTGTGATGCAGTATTAACGGACGGCTCTTTTTCTGTGTGCTCCATGTTGTTGTGGGAATGACTGGCAGATTCTTTGTCAGTCCATTTTCATTCCTCCTTTACTATTGGTGCATTTTATTGGCTAAACAAGGTCTGTTATTCTTTTGACCTGCAGGATACCACCATTTCAGTTACTCAGATGATTTGAAGGCTGGTTGAAAGGAATTTCATTTAACTTAACAATTATTGAATATAGTCTTTCATAGATAATATATATATAATATATGTAGTGAAAATGGTATGAAGTTGAAGCTGTGACTGATGGCTTGTGTCATTTCACATACTGGGTGAGAAGAAGCGTTTTAGCTGCGTGACAGTTGCCTCATGTACAAGGACTTCTGTTTTCTGGATTGGCAGTCGGGCATTGCTGGTACAAAGGCTCTTGTATTGACTACTGCATTTGACCAAATATGATGCACATGTATTTTCTCCAGATACCTCGAAAAGATTTAACATTCTTTATATTTACGTGCATTCGGTTCTGTTCTGTATTGTTTAGTTACCTTACACAATTAATGAATGATTTTAAATATAATTTATTGTATTTGGGCAGATGTAGTATGTGGCGTAAAATAAGAATCTGTTTAACCCTTTGAGTGCTACATGCTTACGTACAAGGGCATCCATTTCTCTTCTACCTTTGCTACACTCAGATCTACAGTCATAAGAAAATACAAAAGTAAGATGACATGCTTTCAAAATACTCACCACAGGCATTAGAAAAGATTTAAGATCATAGCACATAGAGGGTTAAATAGAGAAATTAGAATGGTATAATTACTATATAAGTATAGAAACATACAGCCCGAGCTTAAAAGAACATTGCCACATGATAACAGCAATGCTGTTGTGATAATATTGTGACCTGAAATCGCAGAAGTGCGCACACAACTCTTATGGAGGATGTGTTAATGTAGTTTCCAGGAGTTTATTATTACCTATTATGTATGTCAAATGTACCTCTGTATTTGAAATCTCCAGCCAGTATTTAGACTTTTTTCATTGGATGCAAAGTTTGCGACCATTTTGCTGCATGCTGTGAGTGGCTTAGCTTCTCATTTATGGAACACTGAGGTAAATTGGTTTCTCAGATGTTGGTATGTTGGTGAGTCTGAAGATTGTTGCCTTCTGGGTTGTTGCGCTGTGTAGTCTGGTAGAATGATGGAGGCAGCAAGGACCTCTGAAACATCCGTAAACTTCTACTAGACTACACAGCGTAACAACCCAGAAGACAACAATCTTCACATCTTTTACAATTCATTATTTATTATACTGCCATTCAGTGCTAGAAAGTCTGAGCCATGAAATAAACTACAAGTAAATAAATAAATAAAATGGGAACCAATTTACGTGATTTTTTAGGAGGGATGTTCAGTGACATTCATACTAAAAGCTGCTTTAAATGCCTGTAACATGGGTAGAATGTTAAGTTGATACTGGCAAGGACTGATCGTTACAACAGCACACTGTTGCTTGGTATTTTCCAGTCTTTGTGAATTATAATAGTATTTTATTACTCGCCTAGTCAAGATTTTTCCTAGTTAGTCTTTACACATGCTTGTGTAATCATCATGATGTGAGGGTTGTGTAAGTGCACTGCTTTCTTGATCGTGTTTTTGAATCCCAATAGTTGTGTCTGACTTTTTGACTTAGAATTGGGTGTGGCCTGGTTTTGTACATTTTTCATGATCTTTTTTATGTACCACACTCTTATTGCACCATCTAAATGTAGAGTGTTTGTTGAAAGTGAATTGATTTCTTGTCAAAAATATCTGTAATCCTACATATTTCTTTTACAAAGTTATTTTGTTAGTGTCTTTGTTTCTTAGCAAAAAGGCTTTTTTAACTGTGTAAATTTCATGTAATATGTGTTTGTTATTACTCTATTATAAATTGTTGTCATTCCTATTGTTTTATGTGTTATGAAGTAATTTGTTTTGTAAATAAGAATGTGCTGGCTCAACCATAAAAAGGACATGTATTTTTATGTAGCTATTAGCAGTTCTGGTTCAGTGGTTGGAAGTAGTGGAACTACTTTCCTAGTGAATTATTGATTTGGTTGTGCTAAAATTTAGAAATGAATTTTTATGCTGGACTCAAATAAATTTGTTAAACGTTGGTAGTCATCTGAAGTTGCGTGTGTCAGTATAAGAATGTATATATCACTTTTGTTGATGATGTTATATTTTGGTGTTCAATCATGATTAATAACGTTTCTCTTCTTTCACTGTAAACTATAAGAGGTTTTTGAATCCACAAAGACAAATTATATTCAGTTATACCAAAGTATATCAGTCAAATGTCAAATGCAATGGACATGTTCCGTTCTCTGGATTGTACTTCAGTCTTCAGTCAGTATGAAACAAACAACTTCTTCTGTGTTGTGTGATGATTTGTGTTTTCACCATCATTGAATTTCATAAAATATAGTGAAATGAATATAGGTTTATAAATAAATCAGGAACTGAAAATTGGGGATCATTTTTCAACATCACCAGTGACCTGATGGCCTTTTTATTACATTTATTTTGAAGAACAGTTGGCTTTACTCAGCTCATTCCTTTACTACATGAATATATGTCTAACCTCTGCGTGAGATAATCGTCACATGTGGTTGAGGTATTCAACATTTGCGCCCTTGTTTTATGCAATTTGTTTGTTTTTTGTTTACATTTTTTGTGTTACTGAACAGGTGAGGGTACAGGAAGTTGTAACAGAAGTCTCTGTATAGGAAATATTATTAATGATAGCGAATTTTAAAAACTTATGTGTTTATCAGTGCCAGGTTATTTATTTTTACATTTGATAGCTTTTAAATTTTCCCACATTGTATGACCGTATTACGTGATGTATACTTCCAATTTATAGTTGATTTGTTGGATATTTTATGTTGAGTTATGCTGAGCAGTAATCAGACCACATGGAAAAGAAATGGCATATTAAGAATTACACAATGCGTGTTGTACTGCATACATAATATACTGTGATATGAAACTATACATACTGTTTGTTGCACATGGAATTAATTTGTCATTCACCGAAGATATTAGTGACCATTTTATTAGTCAGGTCTGGAACAGTATGTACCTCACCCATGAAATAAATGTGTCGCTGAAAAATGAACTAACATTTTTGAATGAGAATCAGTTGTAGTGTGGAATTCAAACAAATTGGCAGATGGCTGCAGGTACAGGTCTCATGCAGAATTCAGGGAGTTAACAGTGTCACAGAACTAAGTGATTTAGACTTGAAGTGGAATGGAAAAGTATTACAGTAAAGAAAAACCATCCTGAAGAAACTTTGTAATAATTACTATTCTATCTAATGTGTGTTACCCTTCATACCCTGTGCATTGATTGCTTGCTTGCATTATCTTGTTTTTACATGGCCAGTTGTCAGTTTAATTACAGTACTGTGGTTAATTTGAACAGTTTGTCCATGCTGTGAGCAGCCTTTTTGGTAGTGCAAGCAGAATTTCTGTTTGTGAACTCTCAGCCACAGACATACAGTTGATCTTGTGCACTGAACATTATCAGCTTCAAGCAGCATGAAAGAAGATTTGTTTATTATAATTTTTGATTGTGATATTTGGTTTGGAATGAATGTTGGAATTTTTTTTCATATTTTGGATAGTTTCAGCCACAAGTCATTGAATACCTCACCATTAATGCCCTTGTAAATCTGTTGTAGAAATGTAACAGACAGGAAGAGAAAATTATATTTTCACCGTGAAGGTAAGAATAAAAAATCTTGTCAAATATTAAAAAGTTATTTTATAATAAATTCTCATGTCTTTATATGTTGAAGATGTAGATTGGATGAAGCAACTCTAACATTACTGTGTGTTATATATTCCCACCCATTTGACCCTCAAGAAATCCAACACTGAATTATGTTTGTTGTAGTCAGTTGGGCTCTGAAGACATCTTGTAAATGAAGTCCTGCAAGTAACTGTTGTATAAGTAATCATAATTTCCTCTTGACAATATTGTTTTGTAATGTGAAATTTTATTATACTGTCGTGAGCAATAGCAAACAAGTGAAAAGTTATAATGCAGTTTGGAGTAAACATATTTTCCATATTCATGTCACAACATCCATACAAAATTACATGAATTTTTGACCTTCCATTCTGCAGTTAATAATTGTTTGGGCTAATATGAGATGTAAAGAGTTTGAGTTAGGTGAGTAATGTATAGTTTGTCATTGGTAATGGCATTATAAACTTTGGGTTGGACATTTCTGTTTTGTAATAAAATTAGGCTGAGTTTTTTTTAAATGCTACTTTTGTTCAAAATTAATTTAAACAAGTTTTTTCATTTTCTGTGGTAGAATAGTTTGTACTACAGCGCTAGTAGCGGTGTATTCTGTTGACGTTCGGTAATACCAATGGATACTTGCAACCCACACCATGTATTCTCGTATTCAGTGAAACTACCAAACCTCAGATAACTAAAGCAATCTTTGCACATTTCCAACATGGCGGTTTAAGGAGTTAGTTTGGAGAGGCAAGTGTCAATAATGCTAGGGAACTGTTAGTTATGGATGTTTTTTTCGGACAGTACGTAATTACTTAAGGTAAATATCGGCGTTTAGTTATTAGATGTGATAGTTATAAGCTTTATACACACTTCTCAGTAGATCCGATATTTGCCCTAATTTGACTGGGATCCAATGTCGGAAAGGGAGGGTATCAAAATACATTTGTAAATAAAACTTAAACTTTACTTTCATTAGGTTTCTTCCATATTTTTGTGTACTTTTTATATTTCATTTATCTTGTGTAGTACATAATTATCAATGTTGTGTTTAAAGTATATGTCCGTGGTGTCGTTTGTATATTTTGTTCAGCAAGAGCCAGTTTTCATATTTTTGTGCGTCAGTCTGTTATGATGTTCATGAACCTTCTTATTTTATGAAGTTTATGGGAACACTTAATTTTTGGTCTGTTTTTGTAATGGTGTAATTTGTGATTTGAGTAAATTTTGTAAATTTAGAATATTTGGGTCAGAACTCTGGCCACAAAATAACAGTTTTCTGATTATATGAAAAAGAAAAACTTGTAAAAAATCGCATAAAAGTAAAGACTTATCTGAGAATGAAGAAGTCGAGTCTTGTATAGTGAAGCTGTAATACGAATGTGTAACCATTTATTTCCAGACTTAAATGATCAATTGGAAAACCCTTACATAGGAAAGGGGACAAGTCATACATATAAACTGCTGGCAAATTTTAATTTTTCTTGGCTTCATAAGATATTTGAGAAAATGTGTGTTATGAATAATGGCCCATTTAAACTAATGATATTTTGCTTAATGAGAACTTTGGTTTTAGAAAATACCAATTTTTTAACAAAACTAAATACAAACACATTCATGCTAAAGCTTTTGACATGTTTATAATTTCATATTAATGACTGAATTAGCTTCCTCTGGTGTAGATGTAGATCATAGTAAAGAATTTACATCTAATTTTAGAAGCAGAAGAAGAAAATTGATAAAATGTCCAAATACTCATTACACGGCACTCCTAAAAGAGGATCATTTGTATTAAGCTCTAATTTTTGTAAAGCAAATGAAAAAGAACATTGTGACTAATACGAAGCAAATAACTCATATGCAGGTAAGCTATGTGTGATCACTGTTACTACCTTTGATAGCCAGTCAGCTGCAATAATTGTGAGATTGCAGTAATGTCATAGAGACAAAAAGTTGAAAGTATCTTATACTTATTTCACCGGAGGTTTCAATCCTTAGACTGTTGTCAGAAGAATGAAAAGTCCAGTTTTTTTGTTTTAAATACAACTTCAGATCCATGTTGTTGTTGTTTCTTGACTCTACAACCCAGTTGTGGGTTTTCACCGCCTACTTTTCGGAGGTTTCTTGGTATTCAAGTGTGCATTTATGAATAGTGAGTGACCAGCCCACTGACTCTACTCAATTTCTTCTCAATCCTGATTTGACTGCCAGAGCCATCTAGCAGTTAATTAGGAGACGGGGGAGAAATGGCAGCTGAATTTTGCTTACGAAACATCTCGTATCATTCTCGTTAGTTTCTTTTACATGCCGTAAATCTACGACATGGAACCGCCGGCTTTACTTCCCCTCCGAAGGAAGTTGTGCTACGGATTTTTATCACCCTTAAAAATCCATCGACCCGGCCAGGATTGAACCCAGCAAACCTTAAGACCAGTGGCGAGCACGCTAACTACTGGTCCATAGTTTTGTAATAATGAGGTGTGGTGCTAACGTTCTGTTATGTTGCTTTGTGTTATCTCATACTGATTTATTGTTCTGATTTTCATTTGCAATAGTTTTTTCTTAACAATATTCACTATTAGATGTAAGGTTTAAGACTGTCAGCATTCTTTGCAGTAATTTATAGCAGATTTATTAATAATATTTTGTCTTTTCAGGTATAAAGAAGATAGTGTTGCAGAATCAAGTGATTTGGTATTAGCGCATAAAATACTGTTCAAGAAAGTTACAATGTGGGGAGGATGAATGTTTAGTGGAGAAACTGTTATATTTATTTTGTAATAGCTTCTTTGGTGATGAATTGACATTAACTTTGTAATATGTGACAAAATTCTGCGTCTTGCTTGTTTTCAGTAGTGTGAACATTACAAGTATGGAAGATGAATCTGATTGTGAAACTGTAGTTTTCATGTGAGTGTGGTAGTGTTAAAGTACTCAACTATTGTGAATTCTTCCATTGAAATTTATGGTATCAATCAATATGGCACTCTCACCAAAGGATATGGATGGATTTCTTCCGCTTCTTGCGACAGCAGATACAAGAACAAAACTGACATTGGCCATGAACCTCATAAATTATCTTGGTGACCCAGACAACTCAATAGAGTGCTCTGATATTGGTCAGTTTATTGATGGTCTGATACCATGGATGCAGAGCAGTAACAACAAGGTAAGTGCATTTTGTCCCAGCTTCGAGTACTGCATGGTTCATCCTGTTGTGATTCCTTTATGGTCCAGCTATTCCTTAACTTGAGACAGTGAAATTGTCAGTAGAGGCATAAGCATTTAGATAAGATTTAAGTTTCTGTTGACAGTGTGGAAGTTGATGTTGGTTCTCTGGGTTGTAACTCCATGTGGACTTGTAGATAGACATTTAATGTTTCTCAATTGAAGTGAATTATTCTACGGAGTAGGAGTTACGTGAAAGGTGATTTTTCAATGCCTTCAGTAACTGCCCTGATGTTGGAGGTAGCTATTACCTCTGAAACATTGGCAAACTTCTATCAGACTACTGACCAGAAGATAGCCGACTTCATATTCACCACCGTGGCAACCTCAAATCTTACTTTATTGGTGGTTTAAATACTTTATATTTTGATTTAAACTTTTAATATTATCTGGAAGAGTATTGAATAATTTTATCCCCAACTGGTTTGTCGTGAGGTTATAATTTGGCTTGTGGTTGTGCCTTGTGTTTATACTGTGTTTGTCAGAATTTGTTTGAAAAAGTAAGGGAAAATATATCAAATTTATTTAATAGTTTTATGAAAGTGAATCTTCTTTCAACACTTGCTGGTATTGCGATGATTTTCTTTTGGATGTTAAATTCTCTTTTGCTGCTGTTAAAATAGGCATCATTGAAACACTTTGTAGTGTAATAATGGTGGAAATAATTCTTCAGTTGTGGTCTTCTTAAGGTTGGAATAACATGTTCCTTTCCTTGGTAAAAACAGATTTTGAAAATTTTGTAAAAGGGACAGCTGTTAAATTTTCTGTCACCCAGTTGACATTTTACGTGCTTCAGTTAAATATTTAGTAATTGCTTACATGCTTGTCCCTGGGAATAGAATTTCAGTGAAATTTGGTAAGAAATTCTGCCCTTCCAATGTGCACAAATTCTGTTTTTGTTTGTGGTATTGATACCTGACTAAAGGAGATAATTTGATGAGATGTGCGTGCACTCTTGGGCAGTGGCTTGTGACGTAGGGCACTTCCTTTTCTGTGCTGGGTGTCCTTGCTTCTGATTTTGAAGGCCTGTCAAGGTCAAGATGGTACACTTTTTATTTTAACTCCAGTTATGGTTGGACTGTGAAGAGTTTTAACACCTTGGTCTGTAAACTAATTATCATTACAATGAGTACTTTACTGTGATTCATATTGTTTATTACTCTGATAAACTGACTTCTGAGTGTGTTTGCTCAGGCATTAGTAGAATTCGCTGCATTCCTACAGCACATTTTGTTGACTGGAAAGGGTACTCAACTGGTATCTTGTGGGTTGTGAGGATCAGTAAGGTTGTGGTCTTCTAACAGATGTATTAATAAAGGTTACGATGTTCGCTATTTGATTGTCCATTCATGCTATATAATGACTGCAGTTGAAGCAACGTGATCAACTTCAGTTGGATTAATTAATTTGGTACTTGAGTGTTATCGGGACACAGCACTTTAAAAATAGGTTAGGTTAGGTTAACGTGTGTGGACAGCAATAAATAACTGAACGAACTAACAGATAACAACAACTCTAACCTAACCTATTTTTAAAGCGATGTGTCCCGATAATCCACAAGTACCATTAATTTTTTTGTCGACGCTCTAGAATTTTAAATTTAAGTAAGTTCATGTATTGTGATATAATATTGAGACCACAAATGAAATAATATCTTAAAAGAAGAGTTCCTAAAACACTTAAACTAAAAATGGTAAGTAACTTATTCATGGCTTTCTTCAGCATTTACCCTGCAGAATTTATGCCAGAAAATTATATTTGTCACATGGCGTGTGTCTTCGTGAGTGGTGTAATTAGAAAATATGTTTCTGTCCCTGAGCTGTCATGAGGCAGTAATCGTCTAACTTGTTAATCACAGAGGAGTGTGGTCATTTAAAGACCTGCGTGGCGAAGGTCGCGACTCTTTGAGGAATTCCGACATGTTGTGTGGGATTGTGTCACCTCCTCAAGCAATCTGTATGCACTGTCTGTACTGTTACTTTGGCATTGCACGTTTAGAGCAGTTTTTGCATGAATACTCTTGCTTGTAGATACTACTGTAATTATATGTTCAAATGAATTTGATGTACCCTCTGGAGTTGTTGAAGTAGGAGGGTGTGTTTATGTCACACTATTTTGGTTCAGTGCTGCTGTGTGTCAGGGGTGTACATCTGGCCTTTTTGTTGGTGCTAGGTATACATTATAGCTGATGTTCCATATGCTTAACCTGTTAAGTGGTTGTGGTCCAAGGTTCTGCTATTGTAAGGAGTTGGATTTTATTCACAGGACAAAGATTGCATCACATTTCATTTCTGGCATTCATTTGCAGTCGACGGAATAATTTAAATAATGCCGTTTGTGGTTAATGCTTCGCTTATGGTCGTGGTATGTTACGCAGTTCATGCATTTTTCAAACGTGTTTTTTGTTGTTGTAAATTTTCGTTTTTGTTTATTGCTGATAATGAATCCATTCCATTGCACATAAGCGGGCATTATTTCTACTTTTATTTTTTGAATGTTCACAGCGCTGAAAAATGTTTGAAATCAAAGTTGCAGATTTTAATGAAATTAGTTTTTGGATGTCAGAGTGAGTGGATAAAATTACAAGAAAGTTGATTTATTCTTAGTATTAATATTACGGTGATATGGATTTGCCATGCAAAGAAAAGAAATGAAATAATCCACTTGAAGAAGATAAGGTAACATTAGAATTGAATCTTGGGGAGATTTGTTGTGATGTAAACTGAAGTACGCTGACTCACGATAAAGTTTTGTTTTTGTTGTGGCGTACGTGTGTTCCATAATATCATAAAGTCAGGTTTTTCAGAGTAGGTCAAGGCAAGGTAACAGCCCAGCGTTTGTAAAGGCTTACCTGCGGAACGATGGTTGGTGAATTTTTGAACATCCACGTTTCTTCGGGGGGCCCCAGGAACATTTTCAATTTGCCTGTATTTCGTAGTCAGTGTTACCAACCTTGGAATGGGATCTAATTTTTATGAAGGACGAGGACATGCCAATTCATTTGTGAGAATCTCCACAGTGGCGGATCCGTATTTAACCTTCAACAGTCCAGTGGTAACAACATGTCCTCCTGCTTTTACAATCAGTAACTCGTGCTTCATTTTGTATATGTGGGTTCTACATGGTTCTTACTGCAAACAGCGATTATTTCATTAAACCTAGTTAACCATTATTGATTTGCTGTATTTTCTTTGCGGTACGGGCTGAATTCTTAAATATTATTTAGACGAGATTTGTCTTCAGGGGAATAAATGTCACAAGTATGATTTTAAAATTTCCATGGGGATTTAGAACGTCTTCTGAATAAATTCCCTTTAAACATTCCCTACAAATCCTTAATCTCTGTCGGCAAGTCAGACAAGGATAAGCAAGCAGTTCTTGGCCATGACGTAATGTCGATGGATAATTACACCCGAAGCCTAATGCATGTCCGGTTGTCATGACGTGCACTGAGAGTGACTTCTGAATTCCTAAATATTATTTATACGAGCTTTGGCTTCAAAAAGGTTATATATCCCTGCCTTTTAGGGGGTTCGTAATGTATCTCTCTTGACGAAAGATATTGTTTGAATCAAGGTAGAAAATTTTCGTCTTCAAAATTAAATTTTATCGTGACTTGCGTGGTTTTAATACAGTAATCTTTGAAAATGAAAGATACTGTGTAAAATGACTTACACCAGTTGTACTTTTAAACTCTTCTTCAATCAATGTGGCCAATCCAGAAGAAACTAAGAAAGATTTTCTTTTTTGGAAAATAACGCGAGAAATTTTGTACTACCAAGATATTACGTTATATATATATATATATATATATATATATATATATGTATATCGACGCCCTGAATTCATGTCGGTATCAGCCGATATTTATAATAATAATTACAAACCAGATATTATAATCCGAAACAAAAATGGGACTTGTCTCTTGATTGATATAGCAATACTAAGTTACAGAAATGTAAATAAGAAACAGGTGGAGAAGATCTTGAAATACAAGGACCTTCTCATCGAAATGCAGCGAATGTGGAAAGTGAAAGGAAAAGTAATCCCAATAATTATAGGAGCGACTGGAACTGTCTCCAAGTCACTCAGCAAATATTTGGCCAATACCCTATAAAGGTGGAATAATAATACTAATACGTATTATTCAGAATTTTGAGTTGCACCGTGTCGCCTGTTGTATCGATGCAGAGGGCAGGCTGTCCTCTGTCTTAGAGCGTGATTCTATTTCTGTGAGCGTCTCCCTGTATCCTCTACTTGTACCACTCCGGGGATCTTCCTCCTTTTTTTCCCCTTTTTTGTGTGACGAGTGGAGTCTATAAATGCCGCCTTGTTCCGGTGTCTGCTGCTGCTGCTGATTCCGAACCTCCCATTTTTCTCATTCTCAGACAGCATTCCCCCCAACCCCTCCCCCCACTTCGTCTTTCCATGTCTTCACTTTCGATACAGTCCATTAGCTTAATTGATTTGATCGAATGTATTTGTTTTTTTATGTGGACTGTCTGTTCCAAAGTTAGGTTTGTTGTTGTTCAAAATGTTGCTTACATAATCAGTGCCCTTAACTCTTTCAGTGATACGTACGAGGTGACTTTCCTGGAAGCGCTGGTTATTTTAATTTGTATTCACTTGTTCGATTTCTGGTAGGCCTTGTAATCCTGGAGTCTCGGGTTCGATTCCCGGCGGTGCCCGAATTTATAACTTGTGTTGGGCAAGGCCGTGGTCTAGGCAACACGGAGTTTTCCTCCGTGGCATCCCAACAATTACTCCATGCACACACAGAAGAAGGCAATGGCAAACCACTGCTGGATCATCTGCCAAGAACGTATATGAACAGGTCCCAGTCCGAGAAAAGGATGGAAGGATCCTGTTCATATGGACCTGTCGTCAGACAGAACACTAAATAAATAATAATAAATATGGAATATTTGCCTTTGTGTTTAC